AGCCCCTTCTGTGGGCCATGACACAGGGTCTGCATAATGCTGGTGAGCGTGGCTTCTCCACGCCCATGGAACTGCAAGCCTTTTGAAGTTGGGGAGATCCCAGTACCTACCACTGTGATTCTTCCTGAGGGTTGTCAGATGGTTCAGTACCTTCCCTCCCTTGATCTGCCTCAGCTCTCCTCTTTCCTCTCTCCCTCCCCTATTTAAAGAGTTTCTGATAGGATTTCTAGGAACAAAGAAGTCTTGGCAACATTTTGCCCACAGGCAAGGTTATCATATAGCACATACATATCTCATCCCTGGCCTATCTGCCTCAGGTATGAACATAGATCCCTGTGGAAACCTGAAAATCCAGCTGTTAAATAATTGTGGTTGTCAATTTTTTGTCACTGTACCAAAATACCTGAGGTAATTAACTTAGGAAGAGAAAAGGGTTATTTTATCAGACAATTCTGGAGGTTTCATTCATTGTTGATTGGCCCCACTGCATTGGGCCTGTGGTGAGACAGTACACCAGGGCAGAGGTGCAAGGCAGAGCAGAACTCTCACCTCAGGTCCACACAGCAAGAGAGAGGGGGGAGGAGGCTGAGATTGCGTAATTCCCAATGACCTAGAGCCCCACCCCCACCCTGCTCCACCTTCTTAAGTTTCTACAACCTCCCAATAATGCCACCCTGCAGACCAAGTCACTAACACATAGGCCATGGGGGGACATTCAAGATCAAGCTACAGCAACGATAGTTGATTTCCCACCCAGGATTCTACTTGCCTGCATCGGCAATGGGAGGCAACTGCACTGGAGAGGGAGTGAGTACCAGGGCCAAATTCAGACCTGTGTCCTCAGATATAAAACTACCAGAAAATACCACTGCTCCTCCTGAGACTTCTAATCAAGATAATCAGTAAATATTGGCTGGGAAAAATAATTCATTAAGTAAATAAGGTGCAAACACTCGAGACAAACTCAGTAGCTGAGAACATAAACCTTTGTTCTTCGTTTTCAGGCCTGTAAATACTTCACCCACCCTCCACTCCCACCCCGCCCCTGGCCAAATGACCATCATCCTCTTTCCAGTCTCAACTGAGGGTCACTTCTTCTGAATAGCCTTTCTGCCCTGATGCGAGAGTAGGTTAGGTTCCCCACTCTGCAATCCCCAGGCTCCAGACCCTTCCCTTCCTTCCTCCTTCTCCCTCCCCCTCCCTCTGCTCCTTCTCTCTCCTCCCTGCTCACCCTCCCTAGATTTTCTTAGAGCAACAGAGAAGAATAGCTTTACTCTGATTATAATTCTGCACAGGTCACTGTATCACCCAATATTCAAGCAAGCTTAATGTGTTCTTTGGAAGATCTCTAGGTTTGTGGTAGCGTTATGATGGTGGTTCTCTGGAGCAAACTCATGCAGGTACAGCTGGTATAAACCAAGACAGAACCCCTCACTTCTGCATGGGAGAAACAGGAACTCCAACTGAGTTCTCAACATTCATTTACTCCAAATAAATAAATCATTTCTTTTTTTTTTCCAGTGTACATGGACACAATACCTTTGTTTTATTTTTTATATGGTACTGAGGATCAAACCCAGGGCCTCACATGTGCTAGGCAAGCGCTCTACCACTGAACCACAACCCCAGCCCCACTCCAAATAAAAAAGTTATTTCTGTTAAGAGTTTGGGTGATTTTGACAACTTTAACAGCTACACGGCAGAATTTCCAAAGAACTAAATCATATAACAATAAATATGACCTAGAGATGCTGCCGCCTCTTTATCTTTGGAGTAAGAAACAAACCTGTATTTCTAAAATGCTGAATAAAGTGACTTAATTCACACATTGCTTACTATTAGGATATATATTTTAGTAGCTCTAACAAGAAAACACAAAAACATGGTAAGGCATTAAAGTAATGAGTGATTGTGCTGAAATCAGCCCAGTTCAGACTCCACAACCTGCTCCATTGGTTCTGAATGTGGATATTGGAGTCTTCCCAGGTTTTCAGAGGCAGCTTCCCAGTCCCAACAACCACTGTGCCTCGGTCGCCAGCAGTCTTTCAGTGTGTCCCTTTCCCTGGTGCCAAAAGTCTCCTGAGAAGGGTAAGCCTGAGTTCTGAATTTCAAAGTCCTTTTCGTTAAGTTCCAGCAACTGCAAAGTCTTCGACGGAGATTCACTTTCATGAGTTGTAATTTTCTGCCCGGAGGAATTTCAAAAACACTAAATAAATGGAGGAACAAGCGTTAGGAGCCAGTTCGACTTGCTTTGGACTGCCCCACTTGGAGTGGGACATGACTACCAAGTGGCCCTCTTGATCCACTCCCATCCACTCAGCACCCTTTGCAAACCTTGGTTTTCGTTATTCATAGAAAGGCGGACAGGGAAAGCTGGTGTCCACTCGGGCAGCTGTCTGTCTCTGCACCTCACTTTGGAAGCATTCCTTGTTGTGTGAGCTGCTCAGGCTGCTGTTATTGTTTGGACTCACCCTACACACACAGCCCATGATCAACATCCCCTACCAGAGCAGGACGTTTCCTGTAACTGATGGACCTGCCCAGCCCTAGACCCAGTGACCATATGTAACATTAGAGTTCACTTGTGGTGTTGTGCTTCTTATGGTTTGGATACAACATGCCCCCCAAAGGCTTGGTTGCGCATGCATCACTGTGCAGAGGTGGGGTCTCTGAAAGGTGATTGCATCATGAGGGTGTTAACCTCATCAGCAGATTAATCTATAGATGAACTCACAGCCTGATGGTCTTTCAGGAAGTGGAGGAAACTCTGGGAGGTGAGATGAGTTGGAGGCGGTGGATCACGGGGCCTGTGCCCTTGAAGGATATATTTTATCTCCAGACCCTTCTCTCTCTCATTTTCCTTCCCGACGTCCATGAGTTGAGCAGCTTTGCCCCATCACGTGTTCCCTGCCTCACTACAGTCCTCAAAGCAGGAACCAGATGACCATGGACTGAAGCCACTGAAACTGTGGGCCAAATAAACCTTTCTTCCTTTAAAGTTGCTTTTCTTGGTATTCTGTCACAGGGTGATAAAACGCAAACACATGGTCACCCTGTAGGTTTGGATGAATATGGAATTCAATTTATCTGCTGTCTTGTTATCACACAGAATATGTTATAGCCCTAAAAATTTGGGGCAATATTGTCCCATTGTTTCCAATGTTTTTTGAGGCGTGAATATGGACTGTACCAGGGCAGGCAGGCTTGCAATTGAGTCACCTCCTACCAGAGCCCCTGGGGATTTGGGCCTCCTTTTTGCGGGAGTTGAGGACAGTTTCACCTTTTTCAGTATCTTCACCATCAGGCTCTGAAAGTCCCTCATTCTCAAGTCTGATGTGCTAGAGAGAAAACAGCCAAGTTTAGGTGGCCACCGTGGGAACCTGAAGCCCAGAGCAGGAAAAGGAAGCCAAGAACTCAGTTCTCTCCTGCTCCGCCAGCATTTCCCCTAGTGCTCCGGGGTCTTCCCAGGGCATTTCCCTCTTGGGGGAATGCATTCCTTCACTTATGCATTCCTTCACTTATGCACTCATTCACTAATGCATTCCTTCACTTATGCACTCATTCACTAATGCATTCCTTCACTTATGCATTCCTGCACTCAGCAGACCTGCACTAAGCACTCTTGGTGCCGGGCAGGGTGCTGGTGCTGGGATCTGACTGCTGGTAATGAAGCACAGGGCTGGCCTTCTTAGCCTGGCCCCTGCCCTGATCAGAGAGGAACCGGAGTCATGGGAGGTGACCTTGGTCAGGTGAGGAGTAACCTTCCTGAGTCCCTGCTTTCTCCTCTGTAAAATAGGATGATAACAGACCAATTTCGTGGGCTGGGAGAAGATAAGGAGGGACAGTGAATGAGAACGCTTTGCAGTGGCTGCCGCGTGATGGCTCCTGGCTTGAGGACAGTGCTGCCTTGGCAGGTGGGGTCTAGACAGCCTCAGACAACCCAGCGGTGGGGACATGCACACAGTGCTGACGGGGGCGCTGGTCCCAGCTCTTGATGCACAGTAAGTCATCTCACTGTGAACAGTTATAGCCCTCCTTACAGAGCAGGCGAAGCAGCTGAGACACGTCAGTGATTTGTCCCGGGGCCACACAGCCTGCGGGTGCTAGGGGGAGGCGTGGGCCAGACTGTTAGGTCCGAGAATCCATGCCCTTAGCTGCAATGTTAGGCTGCCCCCCAGGGCATTTTCCTTGGTTCCCCAAGCCCGATGGACTTGCTTAATATTTTTTTATTGGTTGTTTGTAGTTATATGTAACAATAGGATTCGTTTTGACATACTATAAAAACATGGAATAGAGTTTGCTCTATTCAGTCCCAGTACTTTCTCTTTCCCTCCCCTCCTCCCTCCCCCAGTTCCTTTCCCTCTACTCCACTAATCTTTCTCCTATTTTGATGGAATCTCCCCTTTTGTTTTCTCTTCTTTCTTTCTTCTCCCTTATTTTGGATTAGTTTCTATGTATCAGAGAAAACATTTGACCTTGACTTTCTGGGTCTGGCTTATTTCACTTAGCATGACAGTCTCCAATTCTGTCCATTTACCACCAAATGCCATAATGTCATTCTTTGTGACTGAGTAATACTCCTTTGTGTATGAATATCACATTCCCTTTTTCCATTCATTTTTTGAAGGGCACCTAAGTCATTTAATTTTAAATGAAAGTCAGTAATGACTTCTTCATTCATCAAATGCTCATGGGGGTTGTGGCTGGTCAGGGAAAAGCACTGTGACAGATCCAAAAACAAATGGTCAGGTCACTGTCCTCAAGAGAAACATCTAGAAAACTAGAACAAAGCAAGGCTTCAAGGAGGAGGTGAGCAAGGAGGAGGTGGACATGAGGCTCATGTCGAAAACAGGAAACTGAAAGAGGACACCTAGAGAGCATGGAGGGGTCCCCTGGGCATAGGACTGGGAAGGTGGCTTGGGGGCAAAGGGAAAGGTCTTGAACACTAGATTTAAACACATGACTTTGAGTGAGGGCTGTGGCTCAGGGGTAGAGAGCTTGCCAACCATGCACGAAGCCCTGGGTTTGACCCCCAGCACTGCCAAATAAATAATACATAAATAGGTTTCACTTGGTGACATGAGGAGCCATTCATCATCTGGAGCAAGAGCATGGACAGGACCCTAACTTGGGACTACTGCAGCCTTGAGGGAGTCCAGCTGGAAGGGGCAACAGCAGAGGAGGAGCAGTGGTATGTCTGAAATTGCAAACTCATAAAAGGGCTAGAATAACTAAATAACAAGTCATCCAGGAAACACAGTCTGCATGATTCAAATTTTTAAAAGGAATGGAAATGCTTTTTGTATTGATTGTATTGGTTGCATATGTGTCAAAATCCACCAAATTGCATGCTTCAAATATGTGCATTTTATTGTACTTCAATTTTATCTCAATAAAGCTATAGAAAAAAAAATAAAAAGAAAATAAAAAAGAAAAGGGCTGAGGCTGTGGCTCAGTGGCAGAGGGCTTGCCTAGCACCTGTGAGGCACTGGGTTTAATCCTCAGCACCACATTAAATAAATAAATTAAATAAAGGATTGAGTTCAACAATTTAAAAAGAGAGAGAGAGAGAAAGAAAGAAAGAGCATTTTCTTTTCCATGTAACTCCAAATTGCAGCGCCTAATTAAGTCGCAGGTCAGTGTGCTGCGGGTGACTGTAAGTCGCCACGTAACCCAGGCAACGGGAAGGCAGAGGACACTGCGTCCCCAAGGCTGCCTGAGACAGCCCTTGGCTGGGCCTCCATGGGATCAGCCTGGGGAGCGTCGTGAGCTCCTGGGCACCACTGTCCCTCTGCTTCCCTGGCACACACAGTGACACCACTTTCTTCAAGAGTTTTATTGAAATTCGGCGTAAACACAGACAAAGGCATCGTTATTTTAATCTTTTCATGGACCATTCCTGACCTGCTCCGTTTTCTTCCCAAAGCTCGATTCACTCACAGCCCAGTCTCGTGTCCCAACTGTGTGCAGGGTCCACTCCATCCAGGCCTGGCTAAGCCAGGGCTCCGAAGACGGACCAGTGCCCAAATAAGCCACAGGTGAGTGCAGGCCAGGACCCAAACAACGAGAGACCATGGAGATGGACCATGGGGGACAAGTCCTGGGGACAGACCAGGACAAGGGGAGCAGAAAGCCAAGGCCCCCCAGGGGGAGTGACAGAAGGCTGCACTAAGGAGGTGATGCCTAAGGTCGGGCTTTACATCTGCTAAGTGGGTGGCAGAGCAGTCACGGAGGAGAGAGGAGGGTACACCCGGGTTATGGCTGTGCAGCTTGGCTGGATGGTTGCCCAGGTGGCATGGATCCTCTAAGAAGTGACACCAAATTCAGATAACACACTGGGGGCTGCACCAGACAAACAGTCTACATGGGCCAGGTCTTGATTCCTCTCTATTCTCACTTCCCCAGGGTTTCCTTCACCTCCTGAGCTTGACCTGGTTCCCATCTCCTGCCCTGTCCATGTCCAGGCTGTGTCCTACCATACTGGCTCCAGAGTGTCCTGGTGTAGAAGGAAAAAATCTCTGTTCCACTCAGTGCCTGGGAGCATGCTGGGCATGAAAGGTGGAAGGCATGTCACATAACCAGATAATGGCAGCTGCAGTCACTATGATATTGATGAGGGTAGAGGCAACTGGTGGTACAGTAGTCTGTTTTTGTATTACTGTAACAAAACAACTGAGGCAGGCTATTTAATAAAAAAAAAAAGAGAGAGAGAGAGAGATCTATTTTGGCTCACAGTCTTTGAAGCCCAAGCTCCAAACAACAGGGGGCAGACTCCAGCGAGGACCCAGCTGGTGTACATCCTGTCATAACGGGACTGTGTAGGTATCATTCTTGTGTCTGTGTTGTCTCTTCCTCTCCTTAAACAGCCACCAGGATTCAATTATGGGGGCTCCACCCAGCTGATCTAATCTACTTTAATCACTTCCCAAAGGTCCCACCTCTAAATACAATATCAGATGGAGTTTCCACCCTCTTGACATATTAATCTAAGACTTTGAGGATTAAATGCCTGCATGAGTCCAGGAAGACAAATCATATTCAGACCACTGTTGGCAATGGCCTAGTACCACGGCCTTTCCTGCTAAAGAAGGCTATCCCCTGCCTTGGGCACAGGGGATGGGCTGGTTCTGTGCGTTGGCCCCTGAAGGGAGCAGTGTTGGCAAGAGATGAGGCGTAATCAGGAGGGGGATGGATGGTCAAGGACACTAGTTAGAAAGCTGTTGTATCGTTTGCAGAGAGAGAGAGACCAGGCCTGCCCAGGACAATCACTGAGCTCCATGTAGTCACAAGGCTGAATTGTAAATATGTGCTCTGTACAATGAGCATCGAACCATACAGCATCCCAGTTTTATGATGAATGTTTGCTCAAGCATCTACAAAAGTGGAGGAGTGGCCCTGCTGGAGAGTCTAACCGGAATGGAGGAGGGTGGGGTTGGGAGGGCAGGTCCACACTCTGACCCCCTGCAGGGTGGGGTTGGGAGAGGCACTACCATGGCCAGCTGCCTGGGCAGCTCTCCCATTCTCCACAGGGGCCCAGAGGGCCCTCCAGGAGGGCAACAAATGCCCCTGTCCCCTGCTGCCCCCAGCGCATCAGAATCAGGGAGAGGACATGTGTGACACCCATCTGTTTCAAACAGGGAGCAGACACCTGTGGCAAGCATCGGGCTGTTTGTCTCCTCTGAAAATGCGTTGGGTCAAATTTCTACACATACCTGGGGTATGTGTGTGTGTTTCTCTTTCTGACTATACAGGTAATGAATTTTTATTGGAAAAAAATTGGAAAATGCAAAAAGCCAAAAGTAAAAATAGAGTCACTTATAAGACCACTATCAGAGAGTCGTCTTCTCTCTCCTCGGCCTTTTGATTTCTTTCCTTTCCTTCCATTCATTCACAGTATGTGTAGCTCATATAGACATGCTCATGACATAATCTGTTAAAGTTGTATTATATTTTAGATAAGTGGGTCATATGATAAAGTCTCACATCCTACTCTTGCCCTCACTGTTCACATTTCCCTATGTGATTAAATGTCCTTTGGAGACATTCTTAATTTATATACAGTGAAGGCTGGGGATGTGGCTCAAGCGGGAGCGCGCTCGCGGGGCATGCGTGTGGCCCAGGTTCGATCCTTAGCACCACATAGAAACAAAGATGTTGTGTCCGCCGAGAACTAAAAAATAGATATTAAAAAGTTCTCTCTCGAAAAAAAAAAATTACGTACAGTGAGATGGACTCTTTTTTGATGTGCAGCTCCAAAAGTTTCAAGAAATACAAAGATTCATGTAACAAACCACTGCAGTCGAGACACAACAGCTGGGTGTTCGCTTCGCGCTGCCCCCTTTAGTCAGTCCCTCCCTAGCCCTGAGCCACTGCCCCTACCCCTGGCAACACCGATCCACTCTCCCTTCCTAGAGCTTTGCCCATTCTGGAATATATACAAATAGACTCATTCAGCATGTAGCCTGTGGGTTTGGCTTCTTTCCCTTAGCACGATCCTTTGAGTTTCGTCCACATCATTGCACACATCAGCAGCTTGTTTCTCTTTGTTGCTGAGCAGTATCCCACAGCGGAGATGTACAGCAGTTAATCTATGTGTTCACTGGGGCAAGGGCAGTTGGGTTGGTGAACACACTTTTACTTGTTCGATGATATTCCCTCCCATAGCACATGATGCTTTCTATAAGCAGACCTAAGCAGTTGAATAAAAATGTGAACATTACTGGATCTTTGGGATTGTTATTTTAACATAAGTGATCATTAAATAAACATCTTCATACACGAATCTTTGCAAATCAGACGTAGATGTGTACGTTTACATAGTATACATACGTCTCAAGCTGTCAACACACATGCACTGCTGGAAGTATAGGAACACATAAAATATAAAATAAAATTCTACTGGAATTTTCTAAATATGTTTAATTCTATATGATTATACAACAGCTCAGGTCTCAATGTTTTGTACCATTATAAAAATAACAAAATGATAACTTGCTCTAATTCCAATGTAGCAGATTTAGCCTGCTAAATAGGACTTGATTACTTATTGCTTCTGGAATACTGAGCATAAGTGTCCTTGAAATGCCATCTCAGGCTGGTAGACTTTCCTAGAATGAAGTGTCCAGATGATGGCATTGCTCAGCATAGGCAGAACAGGGACAGAAACTACAAAAGGGCAAGTGCTGGGCCTGGGGCTCTTAGGACAGCACAGTCGGGTCTCCAGTTACATTTGAGAACCTGAGGCTAAAGCCACCAAGAGAGGAATGATAAAGCTGGCACTTTGCTCTATATCAAGAGATGAGACTTCTCTTTGAGTAGATGCTGCTGCCCTGAAAATTGAAAAAGAAATAGTCAGTCTTTGTGTTTTGACATCTGCTTTCAAAAATACTCACGAATTCTGTAGAAAATTTTAGACAGTACAGAAAGTTATGAAATGGAAAGTAAAAGTTTCTTTAGTCGTTTTATTCCCACTTTACAGAGAAAATTGCCCTTGATAATTTGGGTTGTCCTTCCAGGAATATGAAACACACACACACACACCCTAATGCCATAGGGTGGACACCCTTCCATATTGTGCACATGAACTCAATTCATTTTCCTTTGTGTGTGAATTCACGTGGTGTGGATGTACCCCACTATTTGCAAAGTTCTTTACTAATAGACATTACATCACCAGAGTTTAACCGATGAAGAAAAACCCATCCTGACATATAGGCATTGAGAGGGACCGTCAAAATACAGACCCTGTTCATAACAAATAAGAGTCTGACCTCTAGGTTATTTTAAAACAAATTCCTGAATTATTTGAAACCAGTCAAAAGGTAATTGCTTAAATTATGAAACACATAATGTTCATTCTTAAATGTGTTTTATGACTCTGGACTAGTGGCTGGATCCTCTAAAATTCCTAACTCAGAGAGACCCAGTCTTGTAGGGGGGCGGAAATTCCTGACCCTCTTTTTACTGAGGAAATATCACCCACAACGTTGTAAAGGGCTCCTCCTGCTGGACAGTTTCTGTAATTGCACTTCTGAACTTCCGATTCAGGTCATGTCCGTACTTGGTAATCTTTGCTTTCAAATAATTAATAATCAGTAGGAGGATACATTTATTTTTATTTTACAGAAAATAAAATACTAATACAGTACTTACTAGAACAGTATTACTAAACACAGTAATAATGAGAGGCTCCTGTCAATTTTTTCCAATTCCCACTCTCTTCCCAAAGGTGACCAGAGTTAGAAAGTTAACTACCAATAGCAGCATGGATTTGCCTTTTCAGACCTCTTCTATGATTATTATCCACAAGTAGAAAAAATAGTTTTGTTTTCCTTTGCTTTATATGTCTGTGTTCATGTTCTGTGCATGAGTTTGTCAAATTTTAGTTTAACAAGCTATTCTTGTTGATGTGAGGCTGTACATGGGGGGAGAGCTATTTGCAGTTACTTTGGTTTTGAAACTTAATTCTTGCTATGAAATTTATAAATCTCAAAGGCTGGTTTTCTCATATACTCTTCTATTTAATTTTCGAATAGTGTCATTCTATTTTAAAACCTACTGAGCTCTGACAGGTTTTAAGGGCACTTCACATTTTGTTAATTACCTTGGATATTTTTAACCCAAGTTATTTTATATTAAAATATTTTACAGTTAAGTTTTTAAATATCACATTTTCTTTTTAAGTATTTTAAATGTTTTGTAAAAGCAAAGTCTTCTCAAATATTTGATTCTAGTAAGCCTAATAAATGTATAAAAGTTAATCTTACTTCTTCTAAATATTCCAATAATGGTTAAAAAAATTAGTAAAACTGTCTCATAACTTTTAACTACAAATTTCAAGTCTAAAATCAATGACTTAGTAGTCACACATATATCAAGATCACATGGCTAATCCAACAGCTATTCTTTTGTGTCAAATTCTCTAAAGTTTTGCAAATAAGTAGCAAAGACAAATTGTTCCTAAACTTACCACATTTTTACTTGCATCTTGATTCATCCACTCCTTTCTTTAGAAGAAGGTACCTAAAACAACCCAAAAGTCTGACATAGGTCAGAGATCATGAGGATTTCCGGAATTCTGGTCACATATTGTCAAATTTTTTTCCCAGAGCACTCCAGTAATTGGTGGTGCTCTCAGGCATTAAATAACATGTTTTTTAAAAAGTTTTTTGCCGTTTTTTCTTAAGATATGTCAAAGAAGTTGAGGTAGAAATTATACCTTGTTATTTTTTATTACACTATTATTAGAGTGATTAAATAATCTTGTCCATTTGCTACTTGTGATTCCTGTTTCATAAACTATCTACAATTGCTAAAATGTTCAAAAAAAGAAATTTGCAAGATTCCTGCTAAGGCAACCAAAGTGGAGAAAACTTGGCAAAGAGCGAAAGACGGTTTCATTCTTCACATTTGAAGAAAATGGGCAGAACTGTTAGAAAGAGATCTGCCAACAAACACTGAAAGGAATGCCCAAACAGAGGCGAAAGAACAGGTCAAGAACTCCTGTCCCCTCCCCTGCCTGACGTGTGTGCACCCAGAGGGTTGCAGCAGTGTGGTGTGGTAGAGAGAAGGGGACTTCGAGCACAGCGACCCTGGTGTCACTTGGGTCTAGCTGGTCCTGAGTGACTGTGATCCCTTCATCTCCCTGAACCTTAGCATCACGGATGGGGCTCACGCTGCCCACCTTCCAGGAGTCTCGTTGGCATGAAAGGGGAACTCCGGGGAAGCCTGCCTATTCCCAAGTGCTTAGGAATTCCCCAGGAAAGGCCAGAAGAGCTTCCTCCTTCACTGAGCTCCCTGCAGCAGGGGCCCCACAGGTGGTGTCCTTTGCCTGTTCCAGGAGCAATGATAGAGGTGCAACAGGTATTTCAAGGATTTTCACATGACCTGTATCTGTACAGGTACACGGGGTTACAGAGACTGGAGCAAAACTGTACAGCCCTAAGAAACAATGCGACCCTTCCCGAGGTGCCAGGGCCTTTAGAAAGTCCATCCCCTTAAATCCTTGAAATAACCTTATTCCCCTGTTTCCCACTGAACTAGGCAGAGATGGTTTCTTTTTCTTGCACACAAAATCTGTATCTGCTGCCACAGACACTCTCTGAGGCCCTTGGACACTTGTCATCTCTTTGGAAGGCTCAGCACCCTTGAATATTGTTCACCTCCAATCCGGGCCTCTACCAGACACAGACGTTCATTTATTCAGTTAGTCACTCACTCATTCCTAGTGTCTGCCAGGTTGCAAGCTCTGTTCTTCTTTCTCCAGATACATCCGTCAGTGAACAAAACAGGTTCAAGTTCCCACCCTCTCCAAGCTAATAATAGTGGGAGACAGGAAATACGGCTCCATAAATCAGTCAGTTGAAAGACGATAAAAAAAAATATATGAGAAACATAGATTCTATGTGGGATCTTGAAGAACCAGAGAAGTACAGTAGAGGCTATCAACTTAAATACTTAAATACTGAGATCAACGTAAATACTGAGGCTAACCTCAGTATTTAAGGTTATGAGAAGTTCCTGGACACTTCAAAGATAAGAAAAGGGCCAAGTTCGGGTCTCTGACTCCAGCTGCAGAGCTCTTACACTGCCAGGAGGGTGACTTCTTCACGGCTTTGTGGGCAGGACAGTTCATGAGGTCGTTAGGGAAGTGGCTCAAAACCTAGCTTGAAATGGAAATTCCCCGTGAGAGACAGTGAGTGATGTGTTTGAGAAAACATAGGAAGAACCTGGAAAGCCAGGTGAGAACAGGGAAGGCCCACGTGTATAAACTAGTCTTCCCTCCCACGACTTATAACTCAAAATCCCGCATGCCAAATTCCCAGGAGGAGAGAACTGAAGTCCCTCGCGGAACCCTGAGAGGTCAGCCGCTAGCATACCCGCCAGAGGGGATGGGCCTGCTGTCCCAGCTTCCAGTCCAAAGAGCACAACATCTGCCAAGGTGAATTCTCATACCCTCACAGGCTCCTTCAGACTCCGGCTGTGCCCTTTCTAGCTGGGTGGACTTGAGTGAGCCTTCCATCAACTTCTCTGAGCTAGAAGTTAATGAGCACATTGGTTCAGATACAGGCTTGGCACTTGTCAAAACACCCAACAGCACAGCTTATTTCTCTGTCAGCATCTGAGCAGGGCTGATACAGGACTCCATGGTACAGAGACACCCCTACACAGAACTCCTGTTGTAGGTTCTGCCCTCCCCAGTTGAAGATGGCTCACACCCAGATCTCCTGGGACCACATGCCAGCCAGTGGGAGAGGGGAAGGAAATGTGAGAGAGAGACTAAGAGACTTCAAGAGACTTGGACAGAGGTTGCACATTACTCTCAGCCACAGCTGGAAGGAGGCTGGATGTACACTCATTAGCCTTGGTGGCCATGAGACCAGCCAAGACTCAAGGATTTTGTTACTAAACAAAGGAGGGAAGAAGAAAGATGTGGGGATGGTGAATGTACACTCTCTTTCCTTCTCCCTAATGGACTGGTTACATGTATGAGCAAGATATTCCACGTGGTGCACACGGATCAATGCCTGGCCCACAGCTGTTGTCCAGCCCCGACGACAGCTCTTCCCCTTGCAGGTGGAAAATGAGTCCTCCAGGTTTTTATGGAGCACTTGCTATGTGCGGCTTTTAAGACACACAAAGAGAAAATGGATGGCTTGGGTTTTGTCAAATGACCCCAATTGGAGTCACTTGAAGAAGACAGATGTTTGCTTCTTTCTCGGTAACTGCAGGATTGATAGTTTCTCCAGCCTCTTTCTGCTCTATGTTCGGTGCTGTTGCGGGCAGAGTGACACAGCTGGGAAGAGGGAAGCACTATAATCGCACTGTGTGCAGAGCCCTGGGGAGAATCAGGAAAGCCTTGCAGGGGAGGGAGCATTTGGAGTTGGGTCCTCAAGGACAGGAGTGATGTTACCAGACAGGAAGGGAGGAGAGGAGACTTTGGGTACCAGAACCAAGCAACAACAATAAAGCCCCATATTTTACCCACCACACTGCCTAGAATTACACATAGCTATAGGTACAGATTTGGATGCAGACAGAGACAACAGCCAGGGCTGGTGATAGAGTGGGACAGAACGCCACACCACATACTGTCAGTCAAAGTGTGCAGCCTCTCTGGAACAGCAAAACTTGGCCCCAAAGGTCAAAATGTAAAATGCTGCACACACATCCATTGAGCCACCAGCTCCAACACTGGTATAATCTGTCTGTTTTTGTCAGCGTTCTTGTCACTGTGACCTAAGCACATGGCAAGAACAACTTAAAGGAGGAAAAGCTTATTTGGCATTCACGGTTTCAGAGGTCTCAGTCCACAGATGGCCAGCTCCTCTGCTCTGGGCCCAGAGTGAGGCAGCACTTCAATGCGGAAAGGCCCAAAGCAGCTTGGGCCAGCTCATAGTGGGGTCAGGAAGCAGAGAACAGGAGGGAGGAAGGGGCTACAGGGCAGATGCCTGCTTCCAGGGCAGGCCCCAGTGACCCAACTCCTCCAGCCACCCACAACCACCTGCCTGCAGTCAGCTACCCCCCAAGTCAGTCCATTCAAACTAGGATGGACTGATTAGGGTAGAGTTCTCACAATCTAATCACGTCACCTCTGAACACTCTAGCATTGTTTCATGTCACACATAAGCTTTTGGGGGACACCTCCTATCCAAACCATATCATTGCCCTCCACAAATACTTCCACACCAGCCTATGAACAAGGATGATTTCTCAGCACTATTTATAATAACACAACAACTGTGACAGTGACCTACAACTAAGCCAGCCTATGGCTGGGGAAGGATTAAATGACTGGAAGCAGGGCCATCCTGCAGAATATTCTGCAGCCACTGAAAGATCGGTCTGAACCCACTGAAAAGAGGAGGCCCTGGCACTGTTAAGTGACGAAATCTCCAGCAGGACAACGCGTACGGCAAGACTGCTTTTTGTACAAAAAACAAAGTCAAATGAATAAAAATAAGTTCAAATCAGAAAGAAGCCAATGAGTAAGCTTACATCTGTGTCTGCTAACGTGAGCGCAGGCCTGTGCCTTGAGCACTTGTGGGATGAGATGGGCCAAGAGCACTTCCTCTTATTCACAGTTGACGAGGGGTAACAACTGAAAACAATCTAACTGTCCACCCATGGGCAACGAGGTTAAAAAAATCACACTTGTACACGGTAACATTAATGAGGAACTGTGAAAAGATTGAGGCAGCTTCATCAAAAATGTGGAAATCTCCTCTGTGTATTTGAGGTTTTTTTGTTTTGCTTTGTTTTGAGGTACCTGGGATTGAACCCAGGGCTCGTGTGTGCTGAGTTCAACTCAGCTCCATCTCCATTCCTTCTTTTCAAATTATACTGCACATATAGATGAGATCATGCAATAGTTTTCTTTCTGCATCTGGCTTATTTCACTTGGCATAATGTTCCTCCGTGCTACGGCAAATGGTGACATCTCCATGTGTGGGTGTGCACATGTGGCACTGGGGATTGAACCCAGGACCTCATCATGAGAGAGAATCCTTTGCCACCTGAACTACATCCTCAACCCCACAATCTCCTTTTTTCAAGGCTGGATAATGTTCCATTGAATTTATAAAATGTAAATATACACACATACATTTATATACATGTACACAATGGAAAAACATATATATTATACATGAATATTTTCTTTATCTATCAGTGGACATTCAGGTTGTTTCCATATTTGGACTAGTATAAACAATGCTGGAAACCTACTGTCCCCCACAGCTTCCTCAGATAGGAGCTGCTTGAACCCAGGGCCTGGGCGTGTCATTCACAAGACTCCATCCCCTGGGTTCTCTCTTGTGTGGCCTGGTCCTTAGCCTGAGGGTGTTGGTTTCTGCTCTTCCTTCTCTCTGAAAGGTTCTTCCCTGATCCTCACTGTGGAAGTAGTGCCTCCATTTCTGAGCACGTTCATATCCTGAGCAGCACTAGCACTTAGACTGACTTAATTTATTTATGTGCTGTTCATCATCTTCTCCCTAAGTGTACTTTAGTGTCTCTAGGGACAACACTGCTTTGCACCATGACACACAGGAGGCATTAAATATTTGTTACTGAATGGAACAAAAAAAGACTGCAGTGAGCCAACATGAAGAAAGAAAGAATGAAACAGCCGGTGCCACGGCAGGTGTCGGGAAAGGACATTCGTGAGTATTAAAACTGCTTCATATCAGAGATTTTTGTGAGGCAGATTTCAGTTGCTCTTGTCACAAAAAAGTAACCATGTGAGATGACAGGCACATTAATCAGCTTGACTGTAGTCTCCATTTTTCTATCTATATATTTCCCATAACATCATGTGGCAAGTTTCAAATATATAAAATAAAATTTCTTTTGAAAAACATGTGGAAACATGCCTGGCGCAGTGGCGCACGCTTATAACCTCAACAGTTTGGGAGGCAAAGAAAGGAGAATTGCAAGTTCAAAACCAGCCTCAGTAACTAGGAGGCGCTAAGCAACTCAGTGAGACCCTGTCTCTAAAATATGAAATAGGGCTGGGGATGTGGCTCAGTGGTTGAATGCCCCCGAGTTCAATCCACAGTACCAAAAAAAAAAAAAAAAAAAAAAAAAATGTAGAAAGAGCTCCTGGATATACTGTCAAGTGAAAAAAAGGTCCAGAATCTTATGAATATTATAATTTATTATGACTGGTATAAAAGAACTGTGTGTGTGTGTGTGTGTGTGTGTGTGTTGTTATGAGCACATGATACTCTAAAAGGACACACAAGACTCTAGAAGCAGGGAGGTTTATTCTTCTGCACCTTGGGATAGGGCAACCAAGAGACTTTCTCAACCCTTTCATAATTTTGAGTTTTGTCTCAATTTAATAAAATGTTAAATTAAGATTAATAAATAAATGTTAAAAGGTTCCCCTGCCTCCTCACTAATAGAATTTCTGCAGAAGCAAGTGCTGCCACAGCAGAGGATGACATAGAGCCACCTCTGCTTGAAGTTCCTGGGAGGAGTTTGGCTCAGGTTGGCAAATGTCTATCAAACCTGCACCCGCCTGGAAGCCCAGAGAGACAGAGGAGGTGAGATGTGGTGCAGAAGAATAGACCTCACCTTGCAGCCACACAGATTAGGGTGGGTTAAGACCATGCTGCAATTCACCCATGTTCTATAATACTAAGGAGAGGTTATCTGAGAAAGAAAGGCAATTTGAGTTTAGTCTTTTACTCACGAATTTAAGGCACAATCAGAGTGAGTACTGTGGTCCACGCACTTTAAGAGCTTCACTGGTCTACAGAAAGAAAATAAGATTTAAGGAATTATCTATATAACTTCCATCCTTCAAACATTTATGATATGCCTGAGAAGACCTGGAGATAACAAAGTCTTTGCCCTCAAAAAAATACAAACTATTCCTTTTTGAAACATTAGCTAGCATTTACTGAGCACTTACAATGTATCAAGAAAATTGATTGTGTGTTTTATATAGATAGTGTCACTTAATCCTGTAACAAGCAAATGGAGTTGGGACAATTTTCATCTCCAATTTACACTAGAGAAAGCTGATGACAATGATTTGCCCAAGTTCTCACAGTAGTGAATCAGAGAGCTGAACTTGAACTTTGCTGGATGACTCCAGAGCCTGAGCTTGTAACCGTGTCTACATGCACATACTTAGAGCCCAGTACTTAGTGTTTGGAAAAAAACTCTGCTTTGGGAAGAAGATTGACTTCAAATAATGGGTAAGAACTGGTGTTTGGCTTTCCATGGAGAAAGCTCATTTGCTGTACACAGTGGAGGGAGAAGATGTGAAGTTCCAGAGCAGGAGGGAACAGAAAGCAGCCCTGGAGACAGGAGCAGGTGCCAGTGCACAGGGCATCAGATCAGAGGGAAGCCAAGATGGGATCTCAGGGGCAGGATGACTGAAGAGGATTCAGAAGAACAGGAAAGCTATGTTGTCACTCAAGGGCATGCTAAGCTAAGCAATCCTTCCTTGGATTTACCTACTTTTCATTAAAGTCTACTCTATGCAATTATTTATTTGTTGTTGTTGTTGTTGCTTTGTTTTGAGACAGGGTCTCACTGTATGGTCCAGCTGGTCTCCAACTAATGGGCTCAAGCAATCATCCTGACTCAGCCTCCCATGTGCTGGGACCACAAGAGCATGTCAACGCATTTGGATTAAAATCTAGGGCTTTGATTCAGAAAGAAGAGCATGGTAGCAGGAGGGAAAGAATCTACTTCCAGGCCATACACAGTTCTGTCCCTAAGTGTTGACATTGGGCCACTTATTTCATCTATCAAAAGAGAATATTTACAAAAGTTTAAAGATAGACAAAACTAACGGGTGGCATTACAAATGTGGGAAACAGATCTACGGAAGCAGAGGGTAGTAGCCAAAATGGAGGCGGGGGCGAACTTTGGATGGATGCTGGTTAGGTCCTACTTCTTGTTCACAGTGCTGGTTGTATGATGAACTTGTGAACATTTATCCAACTGTATACCATGTTTGTGCTTTTTCCTGTATGCAGGTTATATTTCCAGAAAAGGGTATTTGCTTTATTTTGTTTTTTAAAAGGGGGTGATAAAATGGTGCCCGACCTTGGAGTTTCCTGGAAACATTAGCAATACTAATGCTAATATAGATGAAATGATACAGGTAACAGAACAGCTTTAAGGGGAACCAGTGGCCCTCACTTCCAGGAGCTTTGCTCTGCGGGAAGCAATATGTAGCCAGCCTGTGGAGCTTTGGGGAAGGCAGAGGTGGCAGGATGATCGTGGGTAGTAGACAAGAAGACTTCTGATGTCATTTTGGGGCAGGATGGAAGAAATAAGGAAAACTAGAAAGGAGACTAACAAGGAAGGGAAAAGAAACTATAACTTTAAACTCAAAGGCTTCAAACATCCTCACCTGTGCTCTGCAGGCAAATTTCTCCTGAATTTTTGAAAGGCCCATAAATACTAGAGCATTGTGAGCCCAGTTACTTAGTACTTTCGTACCTTGACAGTTTCTACAATGCACTTTTTTAGACTAATTAAATGAAGCTTAGAGATATTATTAGTAAACTTATTATTAAACTCATGATATGGGTACATTTCATGCATTTTCTATGAGCTAAATAACGTTAACCTAGAGATCCTAAAAAGAACCAGACCACCATGGCCTGCCCTGTGCTCTGTGATGCAAAGAATCCAGTCCATCAAGCTAATGTCACCCCCGCATGTTTCTCACATTTGCCATTTACAAAATATCCTTTAGAAGAAGAGCCTGAGATCCCAAAAGCACAACTCACTCTCAAGTTAGCCCTCACCCTGTCCCTTTAAGTGTGCACTCCTTGATTTCCTGAGTAAATCTCTGTTTGTGCCTCTTTCTGATGCATCCTGAAATTCTTTCTGCCCTGTACATCAAGAACCTGCCAGGACCAGGTGTGGTGGCACATGACTGTAACCACAGAAACTCAGGAGGCTGATGTAGGAGGATCACAAGTTCAAAGACAGCCTCAGCAACTTAGCATGTCCCTAAGCAACTTAACAGTACCCTGGCTCAGAATTAAAAGGGCTGAGGATTGGTTCAGTGGTTAAGTGCCCTTGGGTTCAATTCCGGGTACCACAAAAAAAAAAAAAAAGAACTTGCCAGGGTCAAGCTGAGGTCCTGGTCTCTCTTCTGGGGGACCCCCTCGGAGCCCTAGTCAATGACAGTTTCCACACGGAAACACTAATAAATGTTCAAGAAAGCCACCAAGTCCTAACAATGTTGGACTCCAGACCCAAAGAGCCAGCGTGTCTGCTCCCTTAGAGGCTGAGGCGGAGAGCAATGGAGATGGGGATCTGAGTCCAGGAGAGCGGGGCTTACAACCACCCCAGGGCTTTAGCTGAGCTTCTCTCAATGTCCAAGAAGCGGGAAGGGACACCTGAGTATGACATAAAGAGTCTGGTCCATAATTACTCAACAAATAGAAGCTGCTATTTTTCTCCACTGCTCTCTGGTGAAGTACCTGTCTGTAAACATCTCTAACCAACTCGGGCCTTAGCACCAATTGTGGACAAGAACCCCCAGGGACCCAAATACACAATCCTTTTTCAGTTCCTCACCACACAGTAAACAAGGTGAGAAGGAAACCAGATATGGGCAAAGGATAAAGTTCTTCTCTGAATATTCTTTAACCATCATCCAAATGGACTCTGAGAAGCGGGAAGGACTCAGACAAAACCCTGGCCAGAAGGTGCTCCCCACCCCTGCATCCAGAAGCAACCCAGAAGACAATCCGGTGGCCTTTAGAGGTGATGCCTGGAACCCTTTCCACAGCCCACCCCCCCTTTGAGAGTGCATGTCTCACACACAGGACCACCTACAGGTAGTCGTCAACGCAGCTGGACCGGAAGCCCATGGCCTGCAGTCTCTCCTCCAGGATTTTCACACTGCCCTCTCCACAGGATTCCCTAAAACATAAGAACATGTATTTTAAAATAAATAAATATAGGAGGAGGAAGAAGAAGTGGTTCCTAACGTAAATAAAATTTCTTTTGACTGTGTGCTCTCAGATATTTTTCTCTCAGAGGGAATATGGGAAAGCACCCGGCAGAAGATGCTGGGAAGACCCAGCACTGGGTCTTTGAATACACCAGAGAGAAGCTGGGAAGTGCTTCCTTCAAGGGAAAAGGTGAAAGTTCTCAATGTAATAAGCAAAGAAAAAAAATCCTACGTGGATAGTGCTCAGAACTATGTAGGAGTGACCCTCCTTTCCACCCATGAAATTGTGAAGAAGGGAAAAGAAATAGATGCTAGTTTTGCTGTCACACCTCACACTGCAAAAGTTACAGCCACACGGAGTGGCGAATGCCTTGTCATTCACTCCCTTTTATCTCATCTTGTAGACATGAGTAAAGCACAGTGAGACACATTTATATCATTTTATTATAGTATATTTTGTCATTCTATTATTAGTTACTGTTGTTAATCTCTTATTGTGCAAATTTTAAAATTACACCTTATCATAGGTACGCTTGTACAGAAAAAAACAGTACATATAGGATTTGGTACAATATGCAGTTTCAAGCGTCCAATTGGGTCTTGGATCATAGTTATGGACTTCTAAGATACATTTATTTCCACAAGGTTTTTCAAACATAGCAAGGACACTCTGCTGTCCATGATGTTTTGTGTTCTGCTTTAGCTCATGTCTGTGTGTGTGTGTGTGTCCCTTATATAGACATGTACCGAGGTGTTTCACCCTTGCATGGTCTCCCTTACAGACTGTAATTCATATACTGAGTTCCCTCTTTGGAAGACCTACGCTGATTCCTTTTATGCCTTTTATGCTATAATAAACCTTGTTGGAACTTCCTTTTCATATACATTCTTCCTCATTTGTTTCCTCAGTGTAAATGTGTAAAATTAGGTTTTCCGGCAGCAAGGGTTTGCATCTGTTTTACAGCTCCCCACAGGCACTGGCAGGTCACACCCAGCAGAGTGCAGCAGGAGTGCTTTTCCACTCCCTCACCAGTGGGGAGTCTTCCCTCCTGATGGTCTCAATGAAGCAGGGGTGGTTTATAAAGGCCTCAGTGGCAGACACGACCCTGCCATGTGGTTTTTAGGCCTGGTGTTTGTATTGCAGGCAGAGCCCTGCCTAGGTTGTGAGGAACGGGAGGTTAAACAGCCTCCCACCATGACATCAGTAGAGAGGCAGAGTGCAGGGAGGAAATGAGCAACCTCCTGTTGCAACTTCCTGCACAAGTTGCCACAGTATGGAATTCCAGCCACTATGGAATGAAGAGGGCAAAGGGCCTCCAGAACTTTGCCAAAGTCAGGACAATGCCCTTCTCTGGGCGAGACTTGCTATCAGGATTTTTCAGTAAGCAGTGACATGGAGACTTCAGGGTGCCTGGACTCAAAGAAGAGTCAAGGGTCACTCTACAGTTCCTTTGAATAAAGACTGCCAAAGCCATGCCAAATGCAATCAGGTATTAATCATGTCGTTTGTAGGTCTTTGCCTATATGGGTTTTTGCTTGTTTTTATAAAATAAATTTTATTGTGTATATTTGAGGATTACAATGTGACATTTTGATTATATATATATATATATATATATATATATATATATATAGAGAGAGAGAGAGAGAGAGAGAGAGAGAGAGAGAGAGAGGAATTATCACCATACTGAAACAGATTAGTATATCTAACATTTCAAATAGCTACTTTTTTGTGACAAAAAATAGTTAAAATCTATTTATTTAACAAAAATCCCTAATACAATACAATTTTATTAACTATAATCTTCATGTGTTTTCCTTAAATTCTGAACAGTTCAAGACTCCCTTTCTTAGCTCGTGACCTACAACTCTACCTGGTGACTCAGATATCCAACCATATATCCTGACCTTTCTGGAACATCTCCTGAAATAGAAATGATGAGCTGACATGACACTGAACTGCAGTTTCCTAATCTCTCTAAAGGTAAATTCAAAGGACAAGATTCCTCTTAATGGAGACACTGAAACCACAAGCAAGCATAATTTCTAGACAAGAAGCAACTTCTTATGAAAACAAGGAAAACAATAATGTTTTTCAGGAAACAATGAGTGGAATTTGTCTTTTGGGAGGGAAATGCAGATCTTGGTAAAACTTAATATGTAGTTAGCAAATTTATTGTAATATACTTCCTAAGAGACATATGGCATAATTTATGTCATAAGTAGTCTCAAATTTATTGCAATCTGTTGCCCAAGAGATAGGGAAAAATAACAACCAATTTATGGTGAGTCTTAGATGGGATGAAAACAGGTATTTACTGAGATTCTCTTGGAACACACATCCAGTGGCACACCTACTCCTGAGTCTGGCAACACTCTCCTCCAGGTACCATCAAAGCTCTGAAGAACCAGGCCCCAGCTTGCTTCTGAAGCTCCATCATGGCTGCTTAGCTTTAAATGGGCTGTAGCTTCACAGGCAAGTGTCTAAACCTAATGGGTTTAACTGTTTTTATATTATTTTGTGCCAGGAGTGCCCTTCATTGGTGAGAAATACGAGTTCAAGCTTGCATCTGTATATAAACTCAAGTAGATTCCCAAAACAATATGCACCGTAAAACTTCCCTTCCCAGTTATTTGGGATTCAATTGTGGAGTTATTTTCTCCCTGAGAAAAAAGTCTTCAGAGTCCCTGGTTTGGTGCTGAAAACCAGTAAGGGCTTTGGGGCTTAAATGACCAGAAGGAGAAATTGGCTTTGACCCTCACAAATGCATAAGGAATTCGGCTATCCAAAGCTGCCCAAGTCATTCAGGAAGGAACACCATAAGTCTACTGGATAAAGGAGGATTTCTCTGGGGACTCAGGACTGGCTAGTAGCATTTCGAGGAGTCAAGCCTCTGTCTTTCTGTATTGACCATGCTAGAAATAAAGAAGACTGGCATTTCTCCAAAACTGAAAAAGTAAATGGACCTGATCATGTCACATCCGAGACAAGCGTGTCTGCATAGCTGCCACCCTCAGTAGCACCATGACTTACACATTGGTTCCCCCAATCTCATGCATGACCCAGATCTCGATTCGTGTGATCTTATCCTTCTGGAAGTATGGAATTTCAAAATCTGCAAAAAAACTGAGAGACAGGGAAAACATTTCTTTCCTTCCTCCTTCTCTCCCTCCCTCCTTCTTCCTTTCTTCCTCCTTTCCTTTTGCACTGCTGGGGATGAATCCCAGGGCCTTGCTTGTGCTAGGCCACGGCTCTACTATTGAGCTTCATTCCCAGCCCTGGAGGACATTTCTTAAAGTCCTAAGGCAATAACATATTTTTCTATTTCAGTTGTTAGTTGATCTATACATTAACATTTAAGTAGCTTTATTTTTCAGCTTTTATTTTTAGGTTACTTATTCATGCATTCATCAGCTATTAATGGCTTAACTATATAGACAAGATTCTATCACCAGGCCATTCAGCTGTTTGCTTTACCTGAATTTGCAGGAGCATGCACTAGACTGGAGACTAGGACCATTCTCTTTACCTCCAAACAGCTAACATTTTGGCATTCTGTGCTGTACTTGTTGGTGCTGTAGTTCTTACCCTTTGACAGGATAGGCTCCTGTGGGCTCAGAACCATTCAGCATGACATAGATCACCCCAGAACTGTCTCTCGAATACTGCAAGAAAAAAACAACAACAATATGATTTTGAGCAAAGTAAGACATGTCATTTTTTTTTTGCTATGAAATAAACTTTCTTTAAAAAAAAATTGACAATCATCAACATGGGCAAATCTCATCACTGGTTTATTTGGGGAAGCAAATTGCTTTCAAATGTCAAAAAGTCATAGATTCAGTAATTCCCTAACTGGAGCTCTACTATAAGAAGATGATACAAAATACACAAAAATTATATGAAATACACAGCATCAGTACCAGCTGGAATACACTGGCTTGTGTTGCCATAACAGACAGCATTAAAGTCCCGCTGGCTAAAGCCACAAGAAGACTTATTTTATGTTCATTCCACAAGTTTATCACAGGCCCAAGGAGTTTTGCTTATTGTGTTCTCTGGGAGCTTGGCTGAGGAAGTCTCCATATCTGCAAAATCTCTGATTGGCCAGAGGGAAGAAAGGAAGGTGGCAAACCATAGACCACACTTTTTTTTTTCCTGGTGTCTGTCGGGGGGATACTAGGGATTGAACCCAGAGCCTACCCTATGTTAGGAAAGTACTGAACTATATCCCAGCTCTTTTTTTTTTAATCTTATTTTGGGGGGGGTGGGGTTTTTTTTGTTTTGTTTTGTTTTGTTTTTTTTTTGTCTTTTTTGGAACTGAGGGTCCAACCCAGGGCTTTGCGAATGCAAGGCAGATGCTTTGCCACTGAGCTACATCCCAGCCCTATCCCAGCTCTTTTTATTTTATTTTATTTATTTGAGCCAGGTTCTTAATTGCCCTGGATGGCCTCAAACTTGTGATCCTCCTGTCTCGGCTCCCAAAACACCCCCTGTCATTGGGTTCACAGGTGACCATCACCACCCATTCTAAAGGCTTCTCCCAACATCATACAGGTCACAGTCATTCACATCTCATGGGCCAATATAAATCACGGGAAAATAATCCCAAGAAGCAGGGGAGTGCAAACCACAGGTGCGGAAAACAAGCCAGAAATATTTGGCAAACAACACAAAGGACCACCAGAAGCACTAGGCACAAAGATGTGCAGTGCAGCACAGTTTGTAATCGTAAAATATGAGGAGCCAATTTAAAACACCCAGCCACCAAAGAATAGTATGTAAACCGTGATACTCATATCTGAAATACTAACCAGCCCTTAGTAAATGTCTACAGTGTATTTGCAATAGCAGAGAAAGGGTTTATATCCAAAGAAAAATGCAAGATTAGGTAAACAGGGCATGAGCTTCGCCACATTTAAAATAAATAATCAGAAGTCTGGTAATTCCGAAGGGAGAAACAGGCCACAGAAAACTCCTAATCTCCAGTTCAGAAAACCCTGGGAGCATGTAATTTCCCAAAAAATGTTTGTGCTAGAATAAACACAAGTGAGGAAGAATTATGTGTCACTGAGATAAACAAGCCTGGGTTTATGCTCTAAGGGAAACGACCCCCATACCAGCTGTGCCATGACAACAGGACACTCCATGTCACACATGTCTTGGGTTGCTTTCAAGTGGTGCTAACAGGCAAAATTAAGTCCTCAAATGTCAAGGTCTGATGACCACTGTGTTGTGGAGGTTGCCTCTAGGTAATAGGAGCAGGAACACTTCTCATTTACATTTTCTGTAATTTGTCATTCTCTGTCATAAGCAGCTATTATATTGACAATAAAGAGTTAATTTTAAAATACATACAGATACAGTGAGGCCATATAATATGGTGGTTGAAATTTTGGTCTTTGCTGCTGGACTGCCTGGTTTCTAATCCTGTACATCACCTCTGGCACTCTAGCAAAGTTTCTCCAACTCTATGCACCTCATTTTACCCATCTGTAAAAATATCTACCTCATGAGATTGTTGTAAAGATGAAAAATTTTAAAATAATAACTTAATGTTTGGGCTGGGGATGTAGCTCAATAATAGAGAGTTTACCTAGCATGCACAAGGCTATAGGTTCGAATCCTTAGCATTGCAAAAATAAGAGTGATAATATCAATGACTTAATATTTATTGAGTATTTATTACCTCAGGTTCAAGTCCTTTCCTCATCACTTTTTTAGACAACATCTTTTCATGTTTCAATTACCCAGCATATTCTAAGGGCTCGAAAATGGTGAGCACTGTTACTGGTTTCCCATGACAGAACTGGGGGAGTGTGAGAAGGTGGTCTGCAGCACACACTCTGAAGTCTGGCAGATCACTCAGGTAGAATACGATTCCTTTACGTGTAATGCTGACATCTTCCCTGAATCACTGTGGTGACCCCACTTTCAGGTGTAGACACATTTATAGCCTCCCAATCCTCAACTTTGGGGCTCTGGCAGGCCCTGCCAGCTGACTGGAGTTAGCACTCAAGATAGAACCCCTGGGAAGGAGGAAGAAACAGTGTTTTCTCACTGGAGCAGGCTGGAGAGCACAGGGTCCACAGTGTCCTTTGATGGAGGGAGTCTTTGCTTAGTTCCTGACTGCCGCTGTGGTGGAGGACTTGGCCAAAAGCCCTTCACCCTGAATAGCAATGGACCCAGTGGACATCTGGAGATCCAGAATAGAAGATGGGACCCAAAGAGATATGATATCCCTGAAAGGGAGGCGGGGGTGGGTGGGTGGAAGTAGCCTGATTTCTGCCTGCCTCCTGATCAATATAACTTACATTTGATAGTTGGCAGCTCTTTGCCAGGCACTGAGCTAAGGACTTAACCCTCTTTATTTCTAACCTTTATTCTAAGCCTGGTGACAAAGAATATGAACTATAATCATTGGCATTTTATAGCTACTAAAAACTATCATCAACCCTGGTGACGATATTCTCTGACCAACACAGCTAGCTTAGCTGGGGGCCTATTTCTTCATCTCCAATTTATCTGCAGACTCTTATCATCTCCTCTCCCATTAATATTAGTTGGTGAACATTTCTAACCACTCCATCTAGTCCTTGTACCAAGATCTTCCATAAAAGAGGGGTTATCCTCCCCATCTGACATGACAATAAAAGAGAAATTGATTTGAAACACTAATAGCAACCGTGATATAACAGAAATAATAATGGCTATGTAATATCCTCACTTACAGTTAACATTTACTTAATGCTTTCTCTGATCAGACACTGCATTAAATATTTATCTCCTAAAACCCTCTCAACTTTATGGAGCAGAATGAATCAGGATGCTGTCAAGTAGCAATTGAGGCTTATAAAAGTTAGTAATGACCTGCGGTCCCCGTCTCTGAGCCCCTCTGTTCTGTGTTCACAGGTCCCATACTTGCTCAAGTCCTGAGTCATCCATCCCAGATTTACCTGAATGGATGCCCTTTTCCAAAAGGAATCCACAGGGTTGTTCTCACAATCTTCTGATGTAGGACAGGACTGGTAATCCAGCCCTAAGAGAAAAGCAAAAATCACATTTCATTTCAAAGATCATATCAGGGAAGAATCTGTTTAAAATATTTGCCAGCCCCACATTTAGCCCACATTCTGCACCAGGTGCACAAGTCATTTACCAGCCCAAGCTTCAGTTTTGTGTTCTAGCAATGAAGATAAGAAGGCAGCATGGAGCTGGGTTGGGCGCACGAGCTGTCAGTCAGACTGAGTGACAGCAGCTTGTTAGCCTGCCGCCCTGAAGCATATTTCCCAATCATGCTGTGCTTCAGTACTCTCATGTCAAAACAGGGATCTCATGGGACTACTGCAGAGATTAAATTAATTGATATGTGTAAAGTGCTTAGACTCATACCTAGTAAAAAAAAGAGTGTTTTCTATTACTATTACTATTAATTATTATTGTCACCACCTGCCTCAGAGGATTGGTGAGATAAATGGGATGAAGGCATACGAAAGCATTCGATGTGGATGGCAAATGCACAGTAAGCAGGAGCTCCTGCTTCTCTTGTCATGTGCACAGCAGTCTTACCAGACCCATTTTTCTGTCGACACCAACTCAAGAAATCTGCAACCCGGCCATATAGAACATCACTCAGGGACGTAAAGCGACGGGTGTTCTCTGAGTAGCTAGTAACAAGGAGGTGGTTATTTTCCCAGAACAGGGACTGAAGAAAAACAAACACCAAAAATAATCAAAACAGATGACTCAGGCACAATGTCATCGAGACAAGCAGGAAACACATTTCTCATTCAAATCTAACTTGCTGCAGATGACTACGTTTTCCTTGAGTCTCTTTTTATGCATTTGAAGAGTGCTATCCTTCCCACTCCCTTTATTCCAAGGTTATCCTGCAAAAGATAATGAAATATTTTCCCATGTACAAAATGTACGTACATGTAGTAAACAGCATTAAAAAAGACCAAGAGACGGGATGGGATGCTGCTTCTGTCATGCACTAAATGTGTGATCTTGACCAAGGTCTTGACTAGATGTGTCATCATGTGTAAACTCCCTGTCTCAGTTTCTGCATCTGGAAGATGGGGAGCATGAGTCCTTTCTCATCTTCCCCAGCTGTGATCAGGATGGTGTGCCATCACAGAACGTACTTCATAGTCTAAAGAAGTGCCTCAAAACACAGTAGTCTTATAGTACACCCTACCGTTCCTACTATCGATAGTGTTTTCATGCAACACAATATAAATGACAATATCCCCCACTCGTTGGCTCATCTGACACTCAGTAGTCCAATCACACTATATCCAGACTGAAAGGACTCCCAGGTGAAGGTTGATTATCTCTGTTGCACCCTTAACCATTAGCATAAAGTCTGGCACACAGAAGGAGCCCAAGAAATCATTTCCAGGTTCATCAGTGAGCCCACCAAATCTGAAACAGGAAAACAAAAATCATGCTTCCCCTTTTTACTGATAAGGAGGCAGCAACATTCAAAATACAACAAAAATGTAAAATCATGTTTTCAGTCTATTAGCTCTTTGAACTTCATAGTTCCCTTTATCTGCCTTTTCAAATCATACACAATGAAAAAATCAAGTTAAGAATGATTATGTCAAGAGGCGTGGTGCCCACCTATAATCCCAGTGACTTGGGAGGCTGAGGGAGGAAGATCACAAGTTCAAAGCCAGCCTCAGCAACTTGAGGAGGTCCTAAGAAGCTTAACAATACTCTTTCAGAATTTAAAAAGAAAAAAAAAAAGGGCTGGGGATATGCTCAGTGGTTAAGCACCCCAGGTTCAGTCCCCAGTACCAAACAAATATTTACATATATATATGTATATATATACATATATATATATATGTGTGTGTGTGTGTGTGTTTATTTCATATATATATATATATGTTTATGTCAGAGAAATAAAAATGGTATACAATTTTCTTCATATTTGAGGTACTGTGCTAAGCGGCATTTTATGTGGACTTTCTCATTTATTTTCATTTTATTAGACCTTAGCCTGCAGACAAAATATAGACAGGTAGTTTTCTTAAAGAATCTGGTACTGAATAAATACAATATTGAGACATATTAGGAGAGATGGGTCTCCTGAATTACTCAAGGTTCAGGCCCCTGGGCCAGTTAGGATGGAGGTTATTCAGAGCTGGGCAGATGAGGAGGCCTAGTGTAAAGGGTGTGGCAACTTCCTGAGGTCAGCACTGACTTGTTGACTTCGGAAAGTTCCTTCTGCTCGTGACTAGGATGAAGCTGCCTTGCCACCAGTGAGCTCAGCGCATGGGCTGAGAGTTTGCTGCTTGATTTTTCCATAATACCACAGGATGCTGGGGCCAGCTGATCCCGTACCTGACCATTGTCTATGTCCACAGAGAAAGAGTGAGGATTTATCTGAGACAGAGGTGGTTACCTTGTCTCTGGGAATGGAGTGCCTGGAGAGGTTAATGAAAAGGTCATAGTCCGAGGGGAGCACAGAACAAGGGTCCTTGTCCAGCACCACTTTAAAGGCTTCCCAGATGGCTGTGCAGTTCTTGTCCCTGCGCAAAAATACAAGTCAAAAAATATATATATATATATCTACACCATGATGTGCTGCAAAAGATTTGCCTTTCTCCCAAGATTTTATAGGCCATTTGGTCACATATTGACAACAGAACCAGAGCTACAAAAAATAAAGCAAACAGTCCCAGCTCAAACAATGGATTTAAAATCAGCCGCTGCGGTGGCTCTCTGAACTAAGGAATATAGCCTTGCCCCAGGCTCATAAGACAAGGGGAGAAGTCCTCACTGTCATGGCAACTCTAGGTCACCTTGGCCCATGCTGACCAGTTCTCAACCGCACATTCTTACAGATTTTAGGTTAGGAGGAACTATCCTTAGCTCCCAGAGTTTCAAGATCTAGTCACAAGTCTCCTCCTTCAGAGTGACTTGGGTTCCTCCTATCAACATTACCTCGGGCCTCCATTTCTCCTGCAGGAAAAAGGTAGTTTGCTCAGTAATGTGACATATCTTGTGCACTGAGGCCAGGCAGGACTGCAGGTAAATTGCTTCTTGGAAAAAAAGAGCATGTAGGGGTCAGCACAGGGAGCCCATTTTATAGAATTGTTCTCTTAACCTCATGTTCACCGTCCGCATCTGTCCCTAACACTCCAAACTGGCCTTTACCCAGCCGTCACCCTGGGCGGACACCCCCACAACAGTGCACCCCTCACAGTAGCCCCCACCCTTGCTCCCTCACCTCCAGACCCCCACCCTCCACACTGGCCCCGGCCCTTTATAACCCTTACCCTTCTCCCTCACATGTATCTGGGCAAGGCCCGCTAATGCCCCAGCCACGACCCCTGGGAGACGCTGTTTGCCAACTCGACGCCCTTCACCCTCTTTCCCACTCCGCCTGCCGTGCTCACCGCAGCTCAGGGCTCACCAGCGAGCAGTACTCGGCGCAGCGGCCCAGGAAGATGCTCTGCAGGCGTTGGCTGGTGCCCTTCCCGCTCCACTGCGCGCCCCCCGCGCCCGCAGCCAGCAGCAGCTGGAGCAGCGGCAGCCACGACGGTACGCACCCCCGCGCCGCCATCGAGGAGACTGGAATTCCTGCAGCTGGGTGCCTTCTGGGCTCCTCCCACTTCCTCGCCTACCGCGAAGGCGGCTCCTCCATGAGTTTACACCGAGAACGACGGACACCGCGCATCCTTGCTTGCTCTGCGCTTTCCTCTTCAGGACCAAGGCTGAGCTTGGGTCTCACCTGCACAGGGCCAGATATTGAAACCCCAAAGAAGCAGCGAAAATGGAGAACAGGAGAGAGGATTTCAGTCATCAGAAGAAAGACTTGTCTGGCTCCAAACTGTGTTACAACTTTGGCGTCCTTTTTCCCAAGGGCCAGTGATGGTTTTTGCCTGTTTTCAGGAACTAATAGCCACAAAAGCTCATGTTTATTGAGATGTTACTATGTGTCAAGCACTCCACAAGTAAATGAATACATTTACTTTTCAAATCTCCTTAGCTAGGTTTATGATTATCCTTATTTTACAGATGAGTAAACTCTGGAAAAACAAAGAGCACAGATTCCTTACTGACAGGCGCAAGAAAGCCAGGATTCAGAGGGCTCCACGTGGGGGGCCAAGTCCACACCTCTTATGGTAATGATGGCTATGGACTCTGAATCTATTTTTCTGAACCAAACTCCACATTCTCCTATCTAGCCCTTCCTCAAGTCAAAGTCCACTTTCCAAGCTAAGCATTTTCAATTCCTTCTATATTTTTTCCTGGTATTTACTTCCACATGTCTAAATAGCATGCTTACATGCTGTTTCTAGGTTTCTGTTTTGAATATTATTTTTTGACTTCCTAGTATGGAAAAGGAGATGTTGGCATTAACCCCACCCTTCAAAGCATTCTCTTTTACCCTTTATCCTGCCAGTAGGGAAATGTTACCACTTTAAATCAATTATGCATCAGCACTTACATTATCATGACCTTGTGACTGGTATCCATGGCTGAGCTTATACCACTCTATGGGTACGTTCCCTTTGTTGTAAAACTTCAATTTACCCCAGAGGTGATAACTGTCTCTCCCTCCTCCTTCCTGGCTTGGTATTCCATGTACAGTTAAGATTATGGTCCAGCTCTCTGCAAGACATGCACATCTCTCAATATGCTCATGAGCCTTAGTCAAGATTTCAGGGCATGTGTGTGATATCTCTCTCTCTCTCTCTCTCTCTCTCTCTCTCTCTCTCTCTCTCTCTCTGTCTCTCTCGTTTTCTCTCTCTCTCCCTTTTTGGGTTTCTTGGAAATATTCTTCCTAGAGCTGTCCAGCGTTCTGTTCCAACCTGAGCTGACTGCTATGGACTTTTGTGTAATGGTCATCCTGGGCCTTCCCTTCCCTCTCTCGTGTTAGTGCCCTGTTTTCTAGACCTCATGTCTTTCTCTTCTCCTTGTTTTATGGAGCACATTTCTTAATAGGTTCTTTAGAAGATACTCAGAACTAAACTCTCTGACACTTTCACATAGGGCAAAATATCATTTTCCTACCCTCATGCTTAACTGAGAATCTGGTTACATAGAATTTTAAATGGGGAATCATTTCTCTTAAGAATTTTGGAGACAGTGCTCCATTGTTTTCTACATTCTGTGTTGCTGTTGATAAACCGGAAGCCATGCTCCCACTCAGGTTTACCCAACTTTTTTTCTCTCTATGTTTTTAGGACTTTATTCTCAGGAGCCTGAAATCTTGGAGATGAACTCGGGAGCAGGTGGTTTTCTTTCATTGTGCCAGAGAGTCAATGGACCCATTTAGTCTACAAACTCATGCCTTTAAATCCTAAGAAATTTTCTTTTTTTTTTCTTTAGTAATTCCCTCTCCTCCAATTTGTTCTCTTTAATCCCTATTTTTCATATACTAATGACTTCTTAGACTTCTCAGTTGTGAAGTTTCTCATATTTTTGTTTCCTACTTTGTCTTTTTTCTTATACTTTTTTGAATATAAATTTATCATTTTCCAACTCCTCCCTTGATTTTTTTATTATTTATACTGTTTGACAGTATTTTTGCATATTTTGTTTGTTTGTTTGTTTTAGTCTCCTCTGCTGCTTCATGGATCTTTCTAAGGCGATTTCTACAGGTGTAGGTGTTTTGATTTTCTTTTAAAGTTTCTTCTGCCAGTGCCTGCTACCTTTGAGTACCTTTCTATCCATTTTCATTTTGGTTGACTAGCTTTAATGTGAGATTTCTTCATAGTCTGACCTTGGCTGATTGTTTTGGTTTTTTTCTCTAACATAAAATAAACCTAAGACATGAATGACGCACTGTCAGGGGCGTCAAGGGGTGGGCTGCCCACAGCGTGAAACACCGCACTTTCTCAGTAGGAGACTCTTGTCATTTTCTTGCAGACAGCTGGCTTTCCCAGGGAGGAATGTTATGACATTCTGCCTGGAAGGGATTAGCCTGAATTTCAGCAATGGGGAGACCAGAGGGGATGGAGACTGCAGGAATCTCACTATTGACGATGTGCGTTTTCACTTCTCTCTCCTGTCCCACCACGTCTTCCAAGAGCTTCTGGCCTCAACGACGCCCGGTACCCCAAGGCCAGACTCCCTTTGGTCAAGCCTCCCCAGGGAGTATGTTCAGTCTTTGCCTGGGTCCTGGGTGGGGAGAGGCGAGATGCTGCTGCACAGGGCTACAAAAGGTACACCTGCCACCATCCCTAAGAGTTCTGCCCACCCCACCCCCACCTCCATCAGCTCTCCCTGGGGACCTGCAGGGCAGCTGTCAGCTTCCCTCTCAGCTTGCACACCCGTCCCTGCTAGCCAGCCTCCATGTCCACCGTGCTGTTGTCTTCGTCACTTCCTTTCACCTTCCCAGAGTCTGCTGTTGCAATTGCAATCTCTTCTCTTTTCCCTCGTGGTTTATTCCACTTTCTCTGTGCTTACGTTCACATGATGATCAGTGGGAGCAGGCTGGGGAGTCTGCTTAGAGAAAAGAAGTCTTTCATAAACTTTCAAAATATGACTTTCTCCTCACACATTTTAAGCAATGGGAAATACACAGCACCACTTCTGAGGTATTCAGGCACATAAAGAAAATCTGAATCTGAGCAAGCAATCTTTAGATGTAACCACTAGTTTTCAGGAGTGTGGGGACAGAGGCACGTTAGATGACAGCACAGGAAACATCATGTTGGAACTGGCTGGCGATATTTGACAAATAAATTTTTCAAGAATCTTGTGAGCCATTATTAAACACGTTATTAAGTGAATATATATTTACTTATGTACTTAATGAATATTTATATACTTACAATCAAATAAATTGATTTCAAAATCAAAGATAACAAACACCCTAATGCACCACTTCTTGATTGTTAAAGAAGGCTGGCTCCAGAATCCTGTGGTGTCACAGAAAAATTAAGCAGCAAACTCGCAGCCCAGGTGCTGAGCTCACGGGTGGCAAGGCAGCTTCATCTCCAACAGAGATCCTGGGTCTGCTGCCCAGTTGTGGGCAGAAGGAACTTCCCCAAGTCAGCAAGTCAGTGTAGGCATCACCATGAAGACCCCGAGGACACTGCCATACCCTTCACACTGGGCCTCCTCATCTGCCCAGCTCTGAATAACCTCCATCCTAACTGGCCCAATGACATGAACCTTGAGTAATTCACAATGTCAGCATCCTTCCAGGAGACCAAGCTCTCCTTTTAATGTGTTTCAATATGTATTTCTTCAGTACCAGCTTCTTTAAGAAAACTGTTTATATTCTGTCCACAGGCTAAGGTCTAATAAAATGAAAATAATTAAGAAAGTCCACATCAAATGCTGGCTTAACACAGTACCTCAAATGTAAAGAAAATTGTATACCATTTTTTATTTCTGACATAACCATATTTGTTTGGTACCGAGAATTGAAACTTAAACACAGAGCCACATTACTAGCCATTTATTTAATAATTTATAATTTTGAGACAGGGTCTCACTAAGTTGCTTAGGGCCTTTGTAAGTTGCTGAGGCTGGCTTTGAACTTGTGATCCTCCTGCCTCAGTCTCCTGAGTTGCTAGGATTACAGGCATGTGCCACCACCATTTGATATATTATTATTTTTTATTTGTTCTAGTTATACATGACAGTAGAATGCATTTTGACACATTGTACACAAATGGAGCATGACTTTTTATTCCTTTGGCTGTACATGGTGCTGAGTCACATCAGTTGTGTAATCATAGATGTATATAAGGTAATAATGTCTGTCTCATTCTACTGTCCTTCCCATTCCCACTGCCCCACCCCTCCCCTCACTCCCCTGTGCACAATCCAAAGTTCCTCCATTCTTCCCTACCCCCACCCCACTATGGATCAGTATCCACTTATCAGAGAAAACATTTGGCCTTTGGTTTTGGGGGATTGACTTATTTCACTTAGCATGATGTTCTCTGGTTCCATCCATTTACCTGCAAATACCATAACTGTATTCTTCTTTAAAGCTGAATAACATTCCAGTGTGTGTGTGTGTGTGTGTATCTTACATTCTTTTTAATTTTGTTATATGACAACGGAATGTATTTTAAAATTTTTATTTTAATTTCAAATTTTCTTTATCCATTCATCTGTTGAAGGGCATCTAGGTTGGTTGCATAGTTTAGTTATTGTGAAATAAGCTGCTATAAACATTGATGTGGCTATATCACTGTAGTAGGATGATTTTAAGTCCTTTAGATAAACTGAGGAGTGGGACATAATCATTCTTTACTTGATTTTTTTCATTGTGTATGATTTGTAAAGGCAGGCAAAGGGAACTATCAAGTTCAAAGAGCTAATAGACTGAAAACATGATTTTACAGTTCATGCTGTATTTTCAATGTTGCTGCCTCCTTATCAGTAAAAAGAGGAAGCATGATTTTTGTTTTCCTGTTTCAGATTTGGTGGGCTCACTGATGAACCTGGAAATGATTTCTTGGGCTCCTTCTGTGTGCCAGACTTTATGCTAATGGTTAAGGGTGCAACAGTGATAATTGACCTTCACCTGAGAGACCTTTCAGTCTGGATGTAGCATGAATGGACTACTGAGCATCAGATAAGCCACCTTTCCCTCTTAATAGACTTCACTCTGTT